TCTACTGTGTGCACGCACGTGCACACACACACACACACACACACACTTGTTTACTTGGTTTTCAATGGAATCATTCTTTACATATTACTTTGTAATATTATGCGTTATTTTTCAGCTGATTATATTTTAGACATGTCTGAAGTTTAGAAACCTAAACTCCTCTATAATTTCTCTTGAAATAGGTATACATATAATTCACAGAAGCAGTTTTCCATAATGAGAGTTTTGGCTATTTTTTAATTATTATTTTTTATTATGTTCTGTTAGCCAACATAGAGTAAACCACGCGTTGTTGATGTAGTGTTCAATGATTAGTTGCACATAACACCCAGTGCTCATCATTATGTTTTTAACTTGCAACTATTATTTCATTTTTCTGTTCACCTCCCCACTTCTCTGTTCCCCTTCTTCACGGGCATCAATTTTACCCTCTTTCACGTCCACAACCCATTGTGATTTTTGTTAAAAACTCACTGTTTCGAGTTTCCCACACTGTGCTTTGTATGTTGTTCTGCTTGGTTCTCCACATCTTTTTCTCACTCAATAAGTCATTGTCAGAATAACTCCAGGAGAAGTAACATAGATTTTATCTCATTCCTTGTAAGTGCTTTTTTAACAGCTCATAGTGAATGTATCATGCATTTTTTTAAACCACAGTCCATTCATAGTTTCAGTCTTTTGCCTCCACAAAGAAAGGACAATAAACATCCTTGTATATATATTTTTATCTGGAGGTGCTTTTACTTTTAAGGAATGGGGTTGGTTATTTTAAATTTTACATTGTTAAACTGCCTTCTAAAAAGGGGAGAATAATTTATAATCCAGTAGCAAAGAATATACCATTTCATTCACAGCCCACCAGCAGGTTTATTAAAACTTCCAAATTTTGTCAGTCTGCTCAATAAAGTGCCACTTCATTGTTATCTTAAGTTTGGAAAATTTGCATTTACTCTTTTGTGAATTCCCTCTTCATATCCTTGATGTGTGTTTTTTTTTGTTTTTTTTTTTTTTTTTTTAATCGGATAGAGTATCTTTTTCTTTACAATTTGTAGGGACCTTTTCTACATTATAGAAACATTAAACATTCATCTTCATCTGGGTTGCAGTGGTCCCACCATCATTCGATCATCTGTCTGCTGACTTTATGTTAGTGTGCTGGACATTTGTCATGCTTGTGGTTCCTTCAGGAAATACTGAACACCTTTTCTCTAGGTGAGAACTTCTCACTTTTGAGTCTTGTCCCTTAAACTAGAAAACAGAAACATGTCTTCACATGCTCCCTTGCAGCTAGGATAACAGAATAGGCCCCAGCCTCCTCCTATCAGATTCATTGGTACTTTACTTCAACTTGGAAATTATCAAGTTGAGACAATAGCTGTGGTATTGATGTCCTAAGGAGGCAGAAGCAGTATCTTCTTAAAAAGTAGTCTCTCAATGAGGTTTAGGTGTTTTCTCTTCCAAACTGTTTTTCTGGCTGTCTTAGTAGTGAGCATAGCTCCTTTCAATTCTTTTTTTTTTTTTTTCTGCAACATATACCTAAAATAGATGCTTTTGTTTTCAATCAAGAACTCCAACTGATACTGGTATCTAGGCACATACAGAAGTTATAATTTTTTAACGTCAAATACATCTCTTTTTATTTTTTTCTGGGTTTCTGGTCATGTGATCAAGTTTCCCCTCAACTCCTATATTGTCTATGTAGCCTTGATGATTTTCTTCTAAGTGTTTCATATTTAAATTTTAAATGAATTGGGTAACTTAAATGTACATATTCATATATATATTTAAGGACATATTTTAGTTCATATTTATATATATATATATGTATACATATAAATGTTAAATATTATACAGCAAATGCTACATGCATAAGGAGAGAAAGGGGAAATTGGTGCTGTCCAATATAACATTTTACAAAGATGGAAATCTTCTATAATCTGCACTGTCTGATAAAGTAGACACTGGCTGCACTTTAAAACATGACTGATACAGCTGAGAAATACAATTTTAAAATTTAATTTTAATTAATTTATATTTAAATAGCACTTATGTATAGTGGCTATAGTACTGATCAGCCCGTACATTGACAATGGGCCCAACTTAGTTTCCTTCTTGGTAAAGAACTAATTGGTAGCCCTATTTATAAAATAAGTAATTATTTTCCCATTGAATGTGCCATATAGAAAACTTTCATACACAGACATCTATTTTCTAGATTCTCCATTTTTTTATGGCTCCATAGGATTAATACCATATTTATTTGATTATAGTAACTTTATAGTCTGATGAATAATGTGTAAAGCAAAGTTTCCCAGTTTCTCATTCTTCTACATGAAACTTCTCTTGGCTGTTTACAGATATATATTTTTCCAAGAAAACTTTTATGTCATTGTATCCAATTCTGGAATCAAACCTAGATGAAGTTCTATTTAGAAACAGCTCAAATTTATAGAATATTTTGAAGATTGGCATTTTTATTAAATTTTTACTAAATTAACTTCTCATCTTCTCATCTTCTACTAAATTAAATTCTCATCTAAGAGCACATTTTTCCATAGTTCAAATATTGTTTTACGTCCTTCAGTAAGGTTCATAGGTATTTTTATATATATTTGAGGTTTTCCTCCTAAAATTACCTGTAAAAATATTGTTTATTGTAATTAGATATAGATATATTAATTTATAGATATATTAATTTGTATTGTCATTTGCCTACAGGTAATATAAATAAAAGCTATTTACCTTTACATGTTTACTTTGTTTCTATCTTTACAAATTATCTTGCTGAAATTTTCCCTTGATTTTAATTAGAATCTTAAGAATTCTAAGCATACAGTATTTTCATTAGGAAACTAATTGTATTTTCCAGGGTTTATACTGACTTCAATTTTTTTGAACTCACTATTCTAAAACATTGACAGCAGTAGAAGTTTCCATCTCATTTTTTATATTAATTGCAATGAGAGTTTTATAACTTTGAATGATAGTTTTGGTTTGAGGGGAATTATTTTGTCCTCTTGTGTAGTTTACTTTTATTCCTAATTAATTTTTATATATTTTTTCAAGATGTATTGATATTACCATAAGAATAATTTTTTTGTAGATTGACATAATTATATTGAAAGGTTATAAATATTAAAATATCTCTTATTTTCTAAGGATTTTTGCATCTGCATTTGTATGTAAGATTAAGCTACACTTGGGTTTTGTTTGTTTTTTTTTTTTGCTAATTTCATGAGGTTTTATTTTTTTAATTTTTTTTTAAAGATTTTATTTATTTATTTGACAGAGAGAGATCACAAGTAGGCAGAGAGGCAGGCAGAGAGAGAGGGAAGCAGGCTCCCCGCTGAGCAAAGAGCCCAATGCGGGGCTCGATTCCAGGACCCTGATATCATGACCTGAGCCGAAGGCAGCGGCTTAACCCACTGAGCCACCCAGGTGCCCCTCATGAGGTTTTATATTAAGGATCTTTTCCAGGGGATTATACTAGATTAAATAACATGAATTTATCTATTTTTCCCCCAAAGATTTGATAGCACTCATGAAAATCTGGGGTCTCAGTGGCTTTTATTAATGGCAGATTTTTTTAACTCCTCAGTCACTTTTATGATCATTGGCTTATGTCTTTTACCTTCTCTTGAGTTAATTTTAGAAATTTAAATTTTTTTGCAGAGGCATCTTTGTTGTCTAGGTTTTCAGATTTGTTGCCATAAAATTGTCTGTACAAATGCTTCATTATTTTACTACTATTTTAATCACCCCTCCAGTAATGTTTTGTATCTCATGCCCACTGTTGCATATTTGCTTCTTTCTTTTGTCTTAATCAGGCTTGCTTCTCAAATCTCACTTGACTTTCAGTATGGCTCAATAGTTACCAGAAGGGAGATCTCTAACATCCAAGTAGTTACTATTTTATGGCAAACTTTTTACATGATATTTCTAATCTGTTATTATAAAACACTGGTAGCTTATGAATAATAAGAAAGTCTCCTATTACACTGAGTCTCCAAATAGGCTCAATTAGAAGATCTATTCATATTCAGTGATCAAAACTCAGTCTCCCAGTTAGGGCCTACTGTGGGATAAAGAGTAAAGAAGGGACTCAAGATGAATTTAGTAAAGATGGTGAAGACAACAGTTAGCACTTACCAAATTTTGGCAAGGCAGTAGAGTAGACTTCAAGTGGACCCACAGGACTAACTTCCACAACACCACTCCAGAAATGATCCATCAGGCATTGACTAACTTCTACCACAATCAGTAAATTTCAACCAAAACTATGTGACAGTTTCTACTGTCATTCCTGAGGATGCAACAGTGAACAGATCAGACAATAAATTTCGGCAATAATGACGTTTTAGTGCTAGGGGTAAGGTAGGGATAAGAGATAGGAAGGAAGCAAGGTAAATATGTAAAACAGATAATACGTTAGATGATGATAATTGTTATGGAGACACAAAGCAAAGGAGGTCTACAAGTTTAAATAGGTTAATGGAGGGGGCACCTGGGTGGCTTGTGGGTTCATCCTCTGCCTTCGGCTCAGGTCATGATCCTAGGGTCCTGGGATCGAGCCCCGCATCAGGCTCTTTGCTCAACAGGGAGCCTGCTTCCCTCTCTCTCTGCCTGCCTCTCTGCCTACTTGTGATCTCTCTCTGTCAAATAAATAAATAAAATAAAATTAAAAAAATAATAATAAAAAATAAATAGGTTAATGGAGGGAAGGGTGCAAAGCATGTTGATACCCAATGGGAGGAGGTTCTAGGAAGGTGAATACTTGGCATGTTTAAGAAATAAGGGAGACCAATGGAGTTAAAACAGTGAGTAAAGAGTCATAATAAGGTGTGTCCACTAGGTTGTGGGCAGGATAAGGAGGTAAGGATAGGCAGAAAGGGCAATTCACATAAGGTCCTATGGGTCATGGCCAGGACTTTGGTTCTTAGTGAGGTAGAAAGCTACTGAAGGGTTTATTGGTGGAGTGACATGAACTGACTTACTTAAGAGGATTCCTCCAGGTGTTGAGAAGAGGGAAAGAGAGATATGTTGGTAGACTACTGAAATCATCTGAGCGAGTGAGAGATGATAATCATTCTCAACACAATGCCACCAGTGGATACGTTAGACGTGAACAAATTCAGCACAGGTGTAGCTGACAAAATGTGTTGCTCAATCAGATCTGTGAAAGACAGATGTCAAAAGCAATCCAAGATTTTTTTTAATTTCAATAACTTGATACAAGGGGTCTCCATTAACAAAGGTATAGAAGACTATGCAAGTAAAATTGGGCCAGGGGAGGATCAAAAGTTCAGTTTTGGACTTGTTAAGTTTGAAATGATTGCTACCCATTCAAGTTGAATGTCAAATGAAGAATTAATGTCACAAGAAGAATATGAGTCTGGAATTCTATGGACAGCACAAGCACGGATTTTTCTACTGAGATGTGGAAACAATATGTCATTTAGTTTTCCTAGGAAGACCCTTTATCCCTTCATCATTTCCTCCACTTTCCCTGAAGTCTTTTATTTTTTTTCTTTCATATTTCATCTACTTATGTTTTTTTCTATGCTTTCAGATATTCCTTCTGCTTTTCATATCATAATGGAACTTACACTCACCCTCACTTCTCGTGATTTTTAATTTAAAATCATGTCTGTAATCCAAGATAAAAAAGTATATATATGTGCACACAGACACTTCACTGTGAATGTCCGGAAATGTTTTTATTATTCTTACTGTGTTAATTTAAATGGTCCCTTCTTCTCCAGAAGCTCTACTCTTTGCCTGCTGGCCCCCTAAGAAGCCATATTATTCCTTGTGCTGCTAACTGAAGCTCAGGTGCAACCATGCAGTTTACTTCCTATGTCAATCTCCTGAACAGTGAAAACGTCAGTGGTTTGGGCTCTTGAACCAGGAGAGAGGCAGCTGTAAGATGGTCAAATTCTTGTCAAGGTACCAGTGAAAAGACTGCCTGCTCCCAGAGCTCTGCTGAGGACTCAGTCCATAGGAGTTGTAAAAACCAAGAACCCTCACTGGAGTTTATAATGCCCATGTCACAAGAGATGCAGGATCTTCTTGGGACCTCCTGTTTCCTGATTCTTGCCTTAGACTTGTATATTGTGGATTCCATGCCAAGAGCACAAAGCTTCTATTTGCCCTTTTTTGATGTTAAAAAAAATTGTGAGAATGGTCCATACCCCCAATTTACATGCTCAATATTTTATTGCCAACAGAGGCCCCAAGTAGCCATGTGAGGCTATAAAGTGGAAAAAGGAGGAAATATAAGCTAGCACTGATTTAGCACCTAAAATGTGTTAGACATCCTGCTAGGCACTTAACATCTAGTCCGTGTAACTATTCCACAGGGTACATAATATTTACTTCATTTATATGTGAAGATCCCTGATTCAGGTTACAGGTAAGAAATTACTCATAGTCATACCAGTGTCAACCCAAAACTTTCCAATCCCAAACTCCATGATTTTGCTATTGCACTCTTTTTTACCTTTGAAATGCTGTTACTTTTTTTCAAAAGATCAATACATACGTATATGTCTGAACACTTTTTGAATATTTCTTGATGCTTTTTGTATATACTGTCTTTTGGGATGACAATGTCTCAAGTCTCAGCCAGTCACTCTCTGTCAGAGACTGAAATGGCAGAGTGGGTACTGAAAGCCAGGATTGGTTGTCTCCAAAGCACATGTTCTTTCCATGACACTACAGTATTTTCCATGTAAAACAGAAATGATTTTTATATTATCCAGACTCAGTTCTTATTAATGTATATATAATTAAGAGTTGACATTATTAGAGAAACCATTGGACTAAACTATATTAAAGCAAATTTCTTTGTGTCTGCCTCGCCATAAGGCAATTCCTAGAAAGTTCTGACCACCAATGTGGCACAACCCAGTTATTGCTCAATCTGAAAACCTGGTGCCTTGAGTTTGGCCATGTAAGATGTTAACACAGTTTGGCAGCAGAGTTGATGATGCATGTTTGGTGTGATCTCTATATCTTGATATACCAGAACTACTCTAGTTCTTCCAAATTAAATACTGAGACACTCAGGAGGAATCATCATTCTTAATAGACTGGATCTTGTCCAGGCCCAGATTCTTGAACTTCTCTGAATCTCTTATGAAGGCCTCATAATCAATCTCTCTTAACCACTAAGGACCACCCAGAAGTAGCCCTTAAACTGGAGGTAGACATACCAAATTTCCCAGAGCTTCTTCAACCTAAAATGGGTCATCCAGGACCACACAGAGGCAGGATAGGACATCTAATGGAATTCTGGTTTGGACTCAACTTCCAAACAACGTGTGGTATCTCCTCCAGCATCGAGAAAGCAAGCCACAAAGTCTAGAGCCTACTCACTTGCAGAAGTACCTTGGATGCAGTGTACCATCTCACCACTTGGCTTCAGTGGTGTATATGAGTATCAGCTGTCCCCATCTGAAGATCACAGCCTATATAAATCCTAAACTGTGCATTACCCCAAGAATATTGCAAAAAGCCATGTCTCCAACCTAGCTTACCCAACAGATTAAAGAATTTTTAACTTTGTTTCTGCTCAATTGTCTTTGTCTAATTCCTGGTAATTTCAGAAAATCTTAATCAATGTTTTACATAAAATGATTAACTGGTTAATGATGTTGTACATGGCGATTTTTGGATGAAATTTGTCATATATGTGAAGAATATCAACATTGTTTGTCATTCAGCATAGTTTTGCAAGTAACACAATCAGAATTATGTATTAAACAAAGACTATCTCAAGATTAAGCCTGTGACTTGACAGTAGTAAGTTGAGATTTGGTACCTTTTTTTTAAAGCCTGCTTGTTCAATCCAGTGCTTTAACTTACATTTAGTTCTATGTCTTTGTTTCAAGTGAGCAAAAATGGAATGTGATGAATGAGCATATTGAACTAGCTGAGAATTTTTGACCTTTTGAGTATATATTACCACTGCCATATTCCAAACCTTTCTATTAAATCCCTGAGCAACCCCAAATTGATATTGTTATTTAAAAGAAATTTTTCTTGTGTAAAGGGATACTAGTATAGTAACACTGCAAGCCACCATATAATCTGACTGAAGCATAGACATGCCTCTGAAAAACCCAGGATACTGCTTTTCCTTTTCACCATCCATCAACTCAATGACTGAGAATACAAGAAAACTCTGTTTATGATGTTGCAATTTCCCCCAAAACCAGGAACAAGAAGTTTCATCAGTTTGTGAAATATCTAAAATTTCATCTAAAATAGATAAATTGATGTGCAGGTGATAGTTCTAGTGAGAAAAGAGAAAGTTGTGTTGGGTTTGTCTATTTCTTAAACAAAAGGAGGGAGGTTAACTCAAAAGCCATTCGTCAACCACCATGTGGAATCACTTATGCCAGACTAAGCCATCAATTAAATTGGAAAGCATCACCCTATACTTTCTAGATTGTAGAAAAATGGTTATACAACTGAAAAAGAGGGAGCAGAAAGACTGTACCTGGTTAATCCAATCCCCCGAGTTCTTCCAATTCTATTACCGCAGATTGTCTTTCATCACCTTCTGGATTTTTACCTACAACTGCACTGTAATGCCAGCATCCAGTTACATATCCACACCACTGGTTAGCAGACAGACTAAGAAATCTCTCCGATTTAGTCATTTATATGTCAGCAAGCTGGGAGCCCCACTTCCCTCATTGCCAGAAAACTTACTTCTGCAGCACTGGAGTGATGGCCAGACATTTACAAGCCATTTTCTTTGGCTGACAATTTTGTTTTTAAACCCTTAATGGAGCATCTGCAACTACTGTTTTATTGAACTAATTTCAAATGCAGTCGTGTTTCCAGTAATCTATGACAGTTTTAAAAGTTTGAAGAGACCAGGAGTTGGAGACAACAGTAGAGCAGATGTGTTTCACTGAGATGTGTTAACATCTTACTACACTATGCTATAGACATATTTTAGGAGGCAACATTAGGTCAGGCAACAACAACTTCCTTTTAAGTGTGCAAAATTCCGGGTCAAATGATAAAATGAGAACACACAAGTCACCAAACTCCTTGTCCAATATGCAACTATTACAAATGTATATAAAATACAAGGTGAATGATTACAAAAGAAGTCCTGAAACTAAAATAGATGATTAATTTTGAAGAAAATATACTCATTCATTAAAAAGTAAATAAATAACCACTGACCACCTATGGTATGCCAGAGATTGCCTTAGAGTCATGGAATTTATAAGTGACTAAGGTGCCTGAGTTTGGAGAACTTCTGCATTGGGGGGCGGCAAAAGCAGGCTAAAACAAAGATAATAAATAAATTACAAATCTTGCTAAAAGGTGTAAGTGCAATGAACAAACACTTGAAGGATAATTGGGGAATAACAATCATATTTTAATGATAATCAATTAAAAATGAAAGTCTAAAGGATAAATCTGATAAATTGCACAAAAATCTGACGAATACAGCTGAAGACTAGTAATAAAGTATCAGAGAGCAAGAATTATGGAAAAAAACACATTCAAGTATTTCTTCCTTTGCTCTTCCCCACAGCCTTTTTTCCACAACTCTATTTTCCCTCATTTCCTGTTTTGCTCTTTTCTTTCCTCCCCCAAATGCCAATGCTTCCTCTCCCTCTTTACATGTATTTTTAAAAACTATATGAATAACTATACTTGTTTCCAATAATACATTACAGTTGTCCCCCCTTATCCATGGGGGGGGGGATACATTCCAAGACCCCCAGTGGATACCTGAAATCATGGACAGGACCAAACCCCACATATAGTGTCTTTTTCTATACATACATACCTATGATAAGGTTTAATTTATAAATTAGGCACAGTAAGATAAAATAGGACAATTAGAACAATATACTGTTAAAAAGTTATACAAATGTGCTCCCTCTCAAAATATCTTGTATTGATCTCACCCTTCTTGTGATGAAGTGAGCAATAAAATGTCTATGTGAGGAGACAAGTGAGGTGAATGACACAGGCATTATGATGTAGTGCTAAGTGACATTTGTCAGGCTATGTATGCTCAGGAGAAGGATGCATTTCTGGACTGCAATTGACCTTGGGTAAATAAAAGCGCAGAAAACAAAACTGTGAATAAGGGGGGACTACTGTATTATTGTCCCAAGAAACCAACATACCCACTTACCTTATCCTTGCTGGAAATACTTTCTTTACTCATGCTGTGACAGTAAGAATCATAGTAATGATGATGTCTCATTTAATAATTTTCTTTTTTCTCCTGAAACCCTTGCTCTAAAGTGAAAAGCCATCAAGCAAAAACAAGTCATTAATTTTACAAGGAAATTATCTCAACCAAAATACTCAATTTTCATAGATTGGAATACATATATATATACTTGTGAACAAAGAAAACAAATTTGTATACATAATAAACAACAATATGAACATTAAATAAAGTTTGATATAAATTGTAATGAAGTTTATTTTACTCACCAAGGATGGAAGAGATTGGATAAGATTGGATAAGGGGTGGCAGTTGGAGCTTATCTTTAGACAAGCCATTTGTTATCAAAATGGGATATGCTGGATACATTAATTTTCTTGGGCTGCCATAACAAATTATCACGAGCTGGGTGGTTTGAAACAAATTTATTCTTTCATAGCTCTGAAAGCCAAAAGTCCAAAATCAAGTCCAAAAGTCTTGGCAAGTATCTGAATTCTCTGTGGGAGAATCTGTTCCATGCTTCTCTTGTAGCTTCTGGTGATTGCTGGCAATCCTTGGCATTCTTTGGCTCATAGACACAGCATTCCCATCTCTACTTGTCTTCACATGGCCTTCTCTGTCTCTGTATACAAATTTCCTTCTTCTTAAGATGGTATCAGTCATTAGATGAGCATTCAATCCGTTATGATTCCCCTCATAACCTGATTACACAGGCAAAGAACCTATTTCAAATAAGCTCATAATTACAGGTACTAGAGTTTAGAACTGAACCTATCTTTTTGGTGGACACAATCCAATCCCCCAGATAAGAATTTCCTTTTCCTTAAGGCTAGGACAAATTGAAGAAACTACTGTGTTAAGTAAGTGGTGTGTCTTTTCCTGAAATTATATTGCTGATTCGGTGTATGGTTTTCAGTGTGTTTTGAGGCTTAAAAAAAAAAAAAAAAAGTTGTTATTCCTAAAAAAGTGTTGAGAAAAATGAGCTGTTGCAGTGAAAAGTGGTTAAACAGACATAATGTTAAATATGTATTTCAGATTTAAGAACAATTCAACTATGACTCAGATACATTATATATTTTCATGATAATGTATTAAAGGAGTATTTCCAATGTATGCTATTAAGTAGACCCTTAAAAATTCTTAAATACCCCATTATGAGTATACTTTTTTTTTAAAGATTTATTAATCTGAGAGAGATCAATTGAGCAAGAGTGAGCATGAGCAGGGGATGGGCAGAGGGAGAGGAAAAAACCATGCTGAGCAGGAAGCTTGATGAGGGACTTGATCCCTGAACTCTGAGTTCATGACCTGAGTCAAAGACAGACACTTAAGTGACTGACCCATCCAGGCGCCCCATGAGTATATTTATCTTGATGAGCACTGAGTAATGCATAGAGTTGTTGAATCACTATATTGCACACCTGAAACTAATTTAACATTGTATGTTAATTATACTGGAATTAAAGTTAAAATAAAAATAAATCCAAAAGCTAAAAAAGCACTATAAACTAAAAGCAAATTCTTAAATACTCCTATAGTCTAAAATTCCCTCATAAAGTGGAAGAAGAGAAAAAGTGTCATAATGTGGTTGTCACAGGTTCATTTTCTAAGTAATTTACATACACTCAGTAATGGGTTGAATTATGTCCCCTCAAAAGATATGTTCATGTCCCAACCTCTAGTATCTCAGAATGCAATCTTTTTTGGAAATAAAGTCTTCACAGACATAGTTAAGTTAAGGCGAAGTCACTAGGCCCTAATTTAGTGTCCTCATAAAAAGAGGAAGTTTGGACTCCATGAAGATAAAGACAGAACACCTTTAGAGATAAGGGCTGAGATAAGGGTGATGCATCTACAAGCCAAGAAAAACCAAAGATTTCCAGAAAACCACCAGAAGTGAGGCATGGAACAAACTGTCTCTCACAACTAACCTATCAGTATCTTGGATGTCTAGCATCCAGATCTGTGAGACAATACATTTCTATTTTTTTCCACCTAGTATGTGGCACTTTGCCATGGCAGGCCTGGAAAACTAATACACCTTCTGGTGTAAGGAAATTTTATACCTCTTGTTGTGAAGAAGGCTAAAACTGATATGACATTATATGTGATGTATCCTCAAGGTTGCTCTTGAACAATGAAAATCTCAAATGTTAAGTGCTAAGGGTCTGTCCTATACCAGAGTTTCCCAGTATGACCCTATCCATACCACCCCACCATCATGGAGAGTTTAGTCTAAATACTGCTCCATTAATAATAGGAGATGAAACTCAGGTTGCTATAACAAAGGTGGTAACAGATGAAGTTTTGTCTCTTCCATTTGCTTTGCATGACTAACTCAAAAGAAGCATCTAAGAGGGTCCTGAAATGTAACATATGCGTATTAGTTACTCTCCACTACCAGCATAATATCCACGTTTTTACTCCTTCATTTATTTGTATGAGAGGATAGAGAGATAGAGAGAGCAGACAATGGACTTAGCTAAAAATACATTTCTCAAATTCATTTGCTCAGAGGATGCTCAATTAAGTGTAAGCATATCTTACAAGCAAGGCATAATAAAGCATTGGATAGAATTTTGGAAAAGTTTCATTAACCTAACAGTTGCTCCTTTACTTTACATTTCCCTCTTCTTTTTTCTTTCCCAAAACCTAGTTTTAAAGTCTTGAGGTCCAGCAGCCATTTGGGGACCATGAGTGGATGGCTTAGAAACTCATCCAAGATCCCTTGACACTCCCATGCTACTCCACAGATATCAGTAACTGCCTGTCTCCATACTTTTCATTGATGGACAAAAATAAAACAATATACATTTAAATTACTCTATTCAGCAGTCTATCATTTGTAGCCAAATACAATTCTTAACTGACATAAAAACTTATCCATGCAGTGGATACACCCTTGGTTTACAAGTCTCTAGGTAGCGTAATGCAACCTTGTCATATTTTACAATGCAGATTAATACACTACCATTACTCATTTTTGGAACTGAAAAAATATTTGACTGTGGGGATATTAATGTACATTTTAAGAAACAATTCTAATAAAGTTACACTAAATATTTTATCTTGTGCTTTCTTAGTTTATCACACAACTACTTCAGAAATCTAAAAAAAAGGTTTTTTTGACTTACTTTAAATTTTTCAATAACCAGAAAAATCTTCATTTTTCAATAGCCAAAAAATGGGTAAGACCTAATTCTTTGATGTGAGACTGAGAGATTGACTGAGAGTTTGAGAGTTTTACATTTTGTGGGTTGCTACAATATATGAAGTCTGTCAATGGTTAAGCACTGATTCACTGAGACTTCTCCAAATCGCTTCACTAGCAGAGGAGTGGATTAAGTAGAAATTAAAAAAAGAAGCACTTGAGGGACCCTTTATTCTTTTGTTATATTAGCTACTCCATTGGAACATAAAGAATGTCTAGGAAATAATTCTGAGAGTATAGGTAGTTTTAATATAGAAAACATTTTAAGATATACCACAGGGCCACTTAACTAGGGACCTACGAGGAAGGTTTGTGTTTTCCTAGTCCTATAGATAAAAGAAATAAATGGGACCCACTCTTTGCTTTTAATAATTCCTATTTCCTTTCTCCAAAGAAAAATGAAAGGAAATAAAAAGAAAAAAGAGACTATCTTCAGAATTCCTTTTTTTTTATTTTATTAAGTTCAATTAGCCCAACATATTGTATCCATCATAAGAATTCCTTCTAAAAATTGAGGCTACAACGTTGCCTAGAATTTTTATATCATCTATAACATCATAAAGCTAAAAGTACACGATGAAATTGTCTCTAAAAAATGTGACATTCTAAGGAATTTATCCATGTTTTCCTAGTTAAAAGATCTTATTAAAAACCTATACTTTTTTCAGCAATTTTCTTTAAAAATTGTATTATTTCACTTAACAAGTCAACTCAATCCAATTACTTGAATTACTTGGCATTGTCTCTTTGAGGGTATCATCTTTCAAGTGGAAAAACCAAGTTGCCCATGATGAATAAGTACCTGAGATGCTTCCGATAGTTTGGTTTTTCTTCTTGGCTATAACCAAATTTAACAAAATTGTGCCGGGGACACAAGAAAAAATATTTTCAATTGATTACCATTCTAGAAAAGTCAGCCATCAAAACCTTTTAGGATAGGATGTTCCAGGCCTTTTAGTAGCTGACTGAAAATCTTAAGCAACACCAGACCTCACTTAAGAACTACAATATAATTCTTTGCCAAAGAAATAAAAGTCTACATGTTTCTACCATTTGCATTCTTCTCTTTCTCCAGCTGAAGATTTTCAGCTTAGGACTTCTGATTCTGCTACTATTCTAAGTGCTTTTTTCCCCCCTTCCAACCACCATTCTCTTTCTTTGCATCGCTGTTACCTTTCCAAAACCTGTTTCTAAGTGACAACATTCTTGTGTTTTTTGAAATTTAACCTTGATACATAAGTGTAATATTTCAAATGTGAGTGACACCATAGAGCAAAATGAGATTTCATATTCATCACCTTAGTTCTGATGAGGTAAGTCAGGTAGGGAGAACCATAAATACAAATTTGGAAATTGAGCACCAGAACAGTATTTAGAACTCAGCCAGGATCACACATGTAATAAGCGACAGAGCCAAGACTATAATTCAATCTTCTGCTTTCTAGTCCAGCTCTTTATTCACTGTGTGGTACTTCACTTCCACTCTCACTTTTGAAATGGGTATTTTTGCCCCATCAACAGGAAGGTGATTGAAGTGACTCATGAGAGAGAGAATTCTCTCCCCGTTAGACATGTCTCTGAATTTAATTATTATTGTTGGCAAAAGTTTAAGAAGATACAAAGGTAACGAAAAATTTCCGTCTGAAATAAGCAATTTATATTACATTACTCTCAACAATTAGGTCATTTACCAAAACTACAATATTCAATGCTATTCACTGCAAATCTAACACAATGCCATTCTTGAAAACTGAGCAACTGATGAATGTTTTCAGATGTATCTTTTGCCTGAATTATGTGTTTACCTTAGGGAATTTTATGAAGCCAGGTACAGGATGTCATAACACCATCTGCTTGGATCAGAGGGCTTTTGCTTCTAGATTTACAGGACATTTGGCTTGTATTCTTTGTTCCTCTGTCTCATCAGTTATTTCTAAGGAGACCTATATCACCACAGTCTTGGAAAATGGTCTACAGTGCTGGTGAAGGATGAAGATTGGTGGAAAAAATCTAGTTCTTCCCTGCTGTTCTCCCAATTCCTACTTAATTTTAGCTCCATGCATAGCTATAAGAATCAGCCTAGTTCAACTACAAAAATAAGGTTGTGTAAACTCGTCCAGAGCCCAAATAAAAACAAACTTTCTAGATGAGGGTGTAAGTAGCTGTAAGCTTAAGAATAATGTATGCCTGAATTTTCCCTTGATTATTTTTCTGTTTTTCTTAGCCATCTTTGAGGGAAAGAAGTATTCTGAATTTATACATTAAAGAAAAAAAATGTTGAGCCTTTTCTTAAACCAAGAAGTAATGTGTTAAATCAATTATCTGCATAGTGAATATTTATTGAGAACTTATT